AAAGCAAACAAGCGTCGAGCTGAAGACGTTAAACAAGCGCTCCTGGGAGGCAACCCAATGTTTTATCTTTATTTTCTTTTCTTTTTGGCAAGTTAAAATTTTTGTTCTATATTATTGCATTATAAATTGAGCATGAACAAATTTGAACAATGCTGAACTAGATCTATGTGAAATTTTTTTGAGTTGTTAATCATTGAATTGCATTTGAATATCATGTTAAGAGTCAAAATACACTGAAATTCGCTCAAGCGACAGAAGATTCGCTCAAGCGAATTTACGTTGTTTCTCTCTGTTTCTTTTTGCTCAAACGGATTTTTTTTTCAGACACATTCGCTCAAGCGAATGTACATTATTTCTCTCTGTCTTTGGGTTGCTCAAGCGAATAATAAGTACACTGATTTTCGCTTGAGCGAAAGTGCCCAGATCTGGTTTTTAAAAATCGCTAATTGGGTCAGTTCGCTCACTTTCTCCGTAACCTATCTCTGAACCTACTCCACCCTCTAGCCATCTTATCTCATTTCTTACCCTTTTTGGCTTAATTTCACTTTTATAAACACATTTTCGACTAATTGGGGTGATTTTAACAACTTTCTACATATTGGAATCACAAAATTTTCAGTCATTGTTCACTCCTTGTTTTTGTATTGTGCGATTTCTGCTATATCCTGCAATTAAGGTGAGATTGGCAACCTTTAGTTGATGAATTGTATGAGTTGTGAGTTGTATTTCATGATTATGGTTGGATGGTAAGGTTAGAATGCAATTACATGAGTTAGAAATTCTACTGCATACCAACTATTCGATAAAATAACTCAAAGCGATTCATTTGATTTTTAGGTGATTTAAAACATGCAATTGCTTATGGGTTGCTTAATTATTTAAGTGGGAAGGGATACTTGCTAGAAAGTCGAGTCATAGGAGTTCCATTATTAAATGCATATCAAGTGTTTGCTGAAATGTTGCAATAGGAGCTATGAGATGTTAGGATTAGAATGATTTCTTATAATAATCAAAATGCATAAACATAATCCAAAATTTTCTTTCCATGTTTGGTCATCATATATCCATCAACTAACTGTGAGTATCATGATGTTTTCAGATGAGTCCAAGAAAATAATCACATGGTGCGTCATCATCTAGAGCAGCTGGGAAGAGACCCAGAGTAAACCCTAAAGGAACTCAAGTGGATAGACGTAGATTTAAAGATGCCAAGAGACAGGCGAGATTTGAGAGAATCCGCAACTGAACATTTATTCCGGAAAGAAGAATGGAACTAAATGAAGGCAAATTCCCAGAATTCAACAATGAAATAACTTGCAGGAACTGGAGACAATTGGCACTCCCAATGCCAAAGTACGATCCTGAGATCGTAAAGGAGTTTTTCGCCAATGCCTGCCTAGTTGAAGGAGAGTCATTCTGGGCACGTTCAAAAGTGAGAGGCCGGTGGGTTCCATATGATAGAAATGCAATCAACGATTTGTTGAGAAACCCGCTCTTTCTGGAGGAAGGCCATATATGTGATTTTCAAGTCATCCAAAATAACAGACGTTTAACTGAAATACACTTCAGAGATGATGACATAGAAAGGGCCCTATGCTTACCTGGGAGAACCTTTGAGGCAAATCATGCTGGCAAGGCCTTAAGAATACTGAGGGCTAACATGACAACCTTAACTCAGATCTGGACTTCATTCTTGCTAGCTAACATAGTACCCATCAAGCACAGTTCGGATATGAATATGCCCAGGTGTCATATTATCAAGAGCATTCTGGATGAGACTATGATAGACGTCACCGCAATTATCTCGGAGGAGATTTATCAGTTTGTGGTATTGGAAAGCGGATGATGAGCAGAGCAAGCTAAAGCTCTTGGATTTCCTACTCTCATAACAGCTCTATGTGCAGCCCATGGTGTGGATGTAAACCCATCAGTGAACATCCAACCACCCATTAATAGAAGATTTATAGAGCAGAAATGTGTGAACCCTGCAGAAGGGGAACTATAGCCACTGGCGCAAGAACCACACCAACCAAGAAGAGCCCGACAACCACCTCCACCACCTCAGCAACCAGACTTTCAAAGAATGATGCAATACATGGAGCATTTAACATTACAACAATCAGCAACCCATAGGGGTCAAAGCAGCATTAATGAGAATTTTTATAACTTGTCTTTGCAAATTGCTCCAGGTATGTAGTGGACGTCACCACAAGAATTTGATGTCTTACTTCAATGGCCTGAGGACAGTCCCAATTTTCAAGGAGGGTGTGAAGGTGCAGCTGGTGCACAGGGAGCACAAGAAGAAGAGGAGGAATTGCAAGAAGAAGAAGAAGAAGCAAGTGAAGAAGAAGAATAAGAGGGAGAAAAATTTACTTTAAGTGATTTTTGTTATTTTGATGTGTTTAAGTGATTTTGTTAATTTGATGTTTTAAGTTTTTTTGTTTTGAATATTTTGAATTGACACTTAATGTGATAAATGTTTTAAATTGATGTGATTAAATTATTGTCCCATACAATTTGGATTAGAGCCAATTATGAAATTATTGTTTATTGTGCAATTCAAATCTGCAACTTGAAGAAAACCATTTTGATTATTTCCAATAACAAGTGATTTTGGGATATTGAGTATGATAGTGAAAAAGGAATTGATGAGGAGAAGTAGGAATTAATTGAATCGGAGAAGCTAGCCAAAAACCCAAGCGAGGAGTGAACCAAAAACAGATAAATTGAGTGTCAACACTTTGTGATGATAACTAGTATTGATTGATTCTTTGATGTGATTGCATGTTAGTGAGACTTGAAAATGATAAAAGTATTTTTTCTTTGCAGTAGATATAACCCAGAGCCAAATAGCCAACCCTGCATTAATTATAGGACATCCATTTGAACCCCTTATGAGCCAAAAACAATATTGTTTCTTAAATAGAACCCCTGAGCCTAAACAATATTTATCTACATTCCTATATTTTAGAAAGGAAATGAGTATGAATGTTATTATTTTTCCTATTGTTGAGTATTGTTATTGTTGTCCTACAGGTATTATTGGGGTGTTATTGTAAAAAAAAAGGTCTAAAGAAAAAGGAAAAGCAAAGCATAAATATTGTGGTAAAGCCAAAAAGGATAAATGCAAAGCATGAGAAATGAAAAATAAGTTCAAGGGGGGGGGGGAATGATAATTTGTGAGATTATTAACTCACTATCATTGTGTTAGGAGCAAAAACATGAAGTTTGAAACCCGACTTGAGGAAATGTTAAACAGGAATCATTCATATGAGTTGAATTTCTCAAATACTTTTGTATATCCCAGAAAAACCAATGATTCTTTCTCAGTCCAACCCCATTACAAGCCTCAAAAGACCTTTTGATTTAAGTCTTGCTTAACAAATGTTAATTGCTTGAAGATGACTATCAATATTGGATTGTCTAAATGAAGTGATTGAATGAGATAGACACTTACCTGTGAGATGTGAGAGATCATGCTTCTCTGAGGATAGTTGATGATTAATTTTCCTTTATTAATTTTTGTAACTTGAATGCTTATGTATTCTATTTTCATTTGGAGTTGTGAGCATCACATCTGAAATTTTTTTATGTTGTGGTTCTAGAAGAGAAAGTGATAATAGGTGATGGTTTTGTTTTGGAAAAATTACTTTGCTTGGGACAAGCAAGATTCTAGGTTGGGGGTAGTTGTTAAGTGGTAAAAAGTTGATATAATTATGCTTTGAATTGTTATGAAACCACTTAACTTATGTTAATTCTAATATATTTTTCTCCCAATGTAGGATGAATTCGAGAATACCTTGATACAAGAGTAAAGAGCATAATTGTCAGCATAATTGGAGTAAAACTGGAAGAAGGAAGAAGATTTTCAGCATGGAAGTCGCTCAAGCGAGATGAAATCTTGCTTGAGCGAATATCAGTTATTCTTCTCTGAAAGTCAGTCGCTCAAGCGCCAGTAAATTCGCTTGAGTGAATGTTAATTATTCTTCTCTGGAGTTCACTCACTCAAGCAAATAGGAAACTTTCGCTTGAGCGAAAGACGCGACACCCAATTTTTCCCATAAAAAGATAAGATGTGTTTTGAGAAAAGCAAGCGGTTTTGGGGAGAAGAGGCGCGACTACTGCTAGGGTTTCATCCAATCTTCATCAATTCTTCACTTGTTCCACATTTGGAGCATTGTAATGGCCAACATGAGTGACTAACTTCATTCTCTCAAGATTTGGTGCACTTCCTTTGAACTCTTTTGTATCATGGTGATATTTTGAGATATTAATCTATGTTTTGATGTTGTTATTCTTATCCTTTGTGCTTTGGAATGATTTATTCTTGATGTTTGAGATATGATTGGAAAATATATCTTGAACCATAGATCACGATAAGAATATTTGTTACTTTAATTGCCAGGAATGGAATGAATGTATCAATTGCTTAACACCCTAAACCTAATGCTGAAAAATCTCTTAATTGTGTGAGGAATCAACATTTATTAAGTTTTCGTATGAATTTCATGTGTGAGGAATTAACATGGATGATTTGAGTAGGTGACACCAACATTGTTAAGTTAATTGACGTTTTTAATTGATATAGCCATTACAAAAGAGGGATAAGGAAGAAAATCAATCCTAAGTGCCTTTAATTGATATTTTCTCAACAATTTACAATTCTTTGTCATTTAATTTCAATTCAACTCTTTATGCAAAATCCAATTTGATTTAATCCACTTAGTAAGCATATAATTGAGAATTTTTATTGAAACCGTTCCTCGTGAGATTGACTTTTATTTAATAGAAATACTATATTGCGATTGATAATTTTGGTACTCTTGCCAATAATTCAATAGTAGCTACTCTTTTAAGTGGGTTTTGGATAGGGATGGTGGTACTCGTATTCTTAAACACACCTAGAAAAAAATGGAAAATAATAACCGATCATCGAAGCATTCATGATTGTTACAATCTAAACTAGGTATAATGTGCAACAATGATCAATATATTTCAATTCATGATGAACCATACAAAAAACTTGTACCTGAAATGATTTTACAAACCCTGAAGGGAGGAACAACAACAAAGGTTCCGTTCATTATAACATCATTTAGCACGGTTAGTCGAGGAGAGACATTGTAAGTGTTGAGAACATTTTCCATGCCCTGCCAAAATTTCTGAACTCTAATCTTTTCTTGCGTCACCTCAAGCCTCGCTTGATCAAACAGTAACTGTTATGTCTTCAAAGATACATAATCATCCATCCTTTTCTCCAAATTTACCATATTCTTGGATATCTAGAAGACAATAATTGAGGAATTCAATAAATGTGCTGAGAAATAACGACAAAAAGAGTTGTGGAGTGTTAAAAGGATGAAAAAGAAAACCTGGTTGACTGGCGAATTGGCAAAGAGGGAGGAAGCCTCCATTTGGAAGGTGGCACGCGTGAGGGAAAAATTGGCGTAGAGAAAATGATCGATTATGGATGCAACTTGAGACGGAGAAATATTAAACCTTCCAAATGACTCTGAAGCAATAGCTTTTGGTTCCATATTTGATCGGAGGTGGAAACTTTGCAAGATTGATGGTGGAGGAGTGTGATGACTGAGAAGACTGCAAACTGAGGAGTGTGTAACCAAATTTGAGGAGAATTTCGTTATTTAAAGAAGGAGGAAAGCAGGCGGGTTAATGAATTTCGTTAGAATTTTATTTTTAATACTTTTGTTGCCCCCTTTCTCTTTATAATATTTTTCTCTTGATCATTTATTGTTAAATTTTTAATTTAATTCTTCACACGTATGTTTCTATTAGATAATTTTTTTATTTATGCGTTTAATTTTGTAAATTTAATTCTTAATCTTTTTTTTTCTTTATCTTTTATTTTATCTTATTATTATCTTTTATTTTTATTTTTATCTTTATCTTTTATATTATTATTTTTATCTTTATATTTTATTTATTATTTATTATCTTTATATTTTATTTATTATTTTTTATCTTGTATTTTATTTGTCAAAGATAACATGAACTATAGAATTATCTAAATTTTATAAATTTTTTATTTTTTATCTTTATATTTTATTTGGCAATGATAACATGCAAAATAATTATCTAAATGATATCATGAACAATTAATAGAATTATCTAAATTTTATAAATTTATTATTTTTTATCTTTATTATTTTTTTTGAAATGTTGGTATAAGATATTTGATTCCTTCATTATTTGTCTTGGTTACAATAGATTGAGTTCAAACCATTGTACATATTACAATAGGTTTGGTGATACTAATTTTGTTATCTTGTTATTGTATGTGGATGACATGTTCGTAGTAGGCTCTAACATAGATCGAATCCAAGAGTTAAATGCACAATTGGCTAGGGAGTTTGACATGAAGGACTTGGGATCAACAAACAAGATTTTAGGGAAGTAAATTCACGAAGACAGAAAAGATAGGAAGGTTTGACTTTCTTAGAAGAATTACTTACTGAAAATCTTACGGTGCTTCAGTATGCAAGATTGCAAGCTAATTTCCACCCCACTTCCTATCAATTGTAAGTTATCCTCAAGTATGAGTCCCAACAATAAAGCGGAGAGAATGTAAATGTCTCGAGTACCGTATGCATTAGCAGTGGAAAGTCTTATGTATGTCATGATTTGTACAAGATCAGACATTGCACAAGTAGTGGGAGTAGTTAGTATATTCATAGGAAATCCTATTGGAGAGAATTGGAGTGCTATAAACAGGATCCTTAGATACATCAAAGGAACCTCAGGTGTTGTATTATGTTATGGAGGATTAAAACTAGTTGTCAAAAGCTATGTTAATTCAGATTTTGCAGGTGATCTGGATAAAAAGAGATCTACTACTGGTTATCTATTTACAATTGCAGGAGGGGCAGTAAGTTGGTTATCCAAGTTACAAGATATTGTAGCTCTGTCTACCACAGAAGCTGAGTACATGGCAGTCACCTAGGCATGTAAGGAAACTATTTAGATTAGAAAGATAATGGAGGAACTCGGGTACAAGCAACAACAAATTGTTGTTAATTGTGACAGTCAGAGTGTCTTGCACATTACAAGGAATCCACTACAAGAAAATCTTATATTACCGACAGATATTTACCGACGGATATGTAGCCGTCAGAAAATAAGTGATTACCGACAAAAATTACTGATGGGTTTAGAGTAGTTGTGGAATTTGGTAGATGGACCGACAGATATATCCGTTGGTCCATTTACCAAAATTATTAATTTACTGACGGTAATTATTTGTTCATTTATTGATGGATTTATCAACGGATATATCCGTCAGTAATTATTTGTTCATTTACCGACAAACTTAAAGTATATTTTTAAAAATCAACATTAAATTAAAAAAATTAAATATTTAAAATTATATAATAATTAATTAATTTTAAATATATTCTAATAAACACAACACACACTTTAACCATTGAGCGCATCCTCATATCCAACATATAAATATATAACTATATATAAATATATAAATATAATTGTATTTATATATTTACACGAATATACATTTATTTGTATATAAATATAATTTATTTATAAATTATTATTAAAAAATTTAGTAGCTTAATGGTTAGAGTATCAACCTTCAACTTAAAGATACTCGGGTTCGAATCCCCTTAAATATAATATATGGAAGGGGGACCACTATATAAATATAGTAGTTGGAGTATCATATTCTAAAAATTGTAATAAATAATAAAAATATAATATAAATGGAAGGGAGACCTTTATATAAATAGAGAACATATTGACGAATTTTATAGCCGTGGGACCTATATAAATATAGTAGTTGGAGTATCAGATTCTAAAAATTGTAATAAATAATAAAAATATAATATAAATGGAAGGGAGACCTCTATATAAATAGATAACATATTGACGAATGGAAGGGAGACCTCTATATAAATAGAGAACATATTGGCGAATTTTATAGTCGTGGGACCTCTATATAAATATAGTAGTTGGAGTATCAGATTCTAAAAATTGTAATAAATAATAAAAATATAATATAAATGGAAGGAGACCTCTATATAAATAGAGAACATATTGACGAATTTTATAGTCGTGGGACCTCTATATAAATATAGTAGTTGGAGTATCAGATTCTAAAAATTGTAATAAATAATTTTTAAAATATAATATAAATGGAAGGGGGACCTCTATATAAATATAGAACATATTGATGGATTTTATAGTCGTGCTTGGGTTGTTACTCTTAAGTAAAAAGAGTTGCGTTCGACTAATGGTTATAGCTTTTGGCCTAGTGGTAAGGACAATTGCTAATCTGATTCTAAAAATTGTAATAAATAATAAAAATATAATATAAATGGAAGGAGAACCTCTATATAAATAAATAACATATTGACGGATTTTCTTAGTTACCAAAGGTAACGGTATCAATTGTCCCATGACGGAGGCTGGGTGGGCCAAGTCACAATCGAATCGTGGTGCTTGGGTTGTTACTCTTAAGTAAAAAGAGTTGCGCTCTGACTAATGGTTATAACTTTTGGCCTATAATTGCTAAGGGGGAGATTGTTGTTGGTAGCATCAATTGTCCCGTGGCGGAGACCGGGTGGGCCGAGTCATAATCGAATCGTGGTGCTTGGATTGTTACTCTTAAGTAAAAAGAGTTGCGCTCTAACTAATGGCTATAACTTTTGGCCTAGTGGTAAGCACTCGATCCCAATAATTGGTATCAGAGCTACCCATACTTGATTCATGCCTGTTTAATTTATAGAACCTTAATTATGAAAATTAGGATTAATTTTGTTTTAAATAATTCAAATTACCTAATTTTGTGAACCCTAAGTGGAGAATAATCTCCAATTTTCGTGAACCCTAAAATTTAAATTTGGGAGTAACATCCCTAATATGCTTTTGCTCACTGATGGAACCGCGAAGGAAACTATGGATTCTTCTTCTTCTTCATTTTTCCCCTTTTTGTTTCGGTTTAAGTTTCAAGTTTTACTGAGAAAGAAATAGTGTTTCAAGTTTCAATCTTTCTTGTATTGGGTTCTCTGTTCTCTTTAAATCTTTTATTTCTTTTTTAATTTTTTTTGTTTTGTTTTCACTTTCTTTTCATGGTGGATATGGATGGGTTTGGAATTGGGGGTGATGTTGGGAGAGTTCCCAACACAGAGGATCTTAGGAAAATAGTGAATGTTTACCAGGTATGACTGTTCTTGTTAGAATTCTTTTAATTTATGATTTCCTTTGTAGGTTTAGGTGGTTGTCGTTAAATCCTCTTTTTAGGGTTTAGGTGGTTGCCGTTAAATTTTTTTGGATTTAGGTGGTTGTTGTTCATTCCCTTGATTTGTTCAGGGGAGATGTTCATCCTTAGTGAGTTTCTAAGGATGTGTTTTCATCCCTTTGATTTGTTCGAGGAGATGTTCATCCTTAGTGGGATTCTAAGGAGGTGATTGTCTTTTGAATTATATTGGTTGTTATCCTCAGTTCACACACAGTAGCCTTTTAAGCTTCAGGTTCTAAATCCTTAAACGACATGTCGTGTATCTGAACCAAAACCTTCAATTATAATTGGTAGTTTTATGAATTCTAGAGAGTTTTTATTCTGCTAAGGATGACCTTGTTTTCTTAAGGTTGGTATCTCTTCCCAAGGGACCGGGTCAAGTTCGGATTTGGGTCCGAATACTTTCTTGTAGCGTCCTCTGTCAGCGGTGGTTCAAGCGGGTGGATGCCACTGATATATAAATAAAATATTCAATTTTTGGTAGTTTAATATTTTTTGTGAACAAATTGAGTCAAGAAGTCACCAAAGTAACCTCTGTTGAATTGGGCAGTTCATGAAAAATATTGAATGTTAGTGTTTGTGTATATTCATACTAGTATTAGTCGGCCCAAAGGAAGATTAATATTTAGCATAATTGCATACACACTTGTAATGATAAACATGTGATAATTATAAGGATTTGCTTTGTCGATGATAAATCACTCCAAAGATTGGTTTGTTGTTGGACGTGTTTTATTGTCAATGTTTGATCATTAAAACAAGATACCCCTAACAGTTAATATTACTATCCAAAGACTTGATATTGATGGTGCATTGAGTGTCTTGAGATGAGTTAAACCATTATTTGAATATTTATAATTAATTATTTTTATAATCTGAGCGTAATTAGTTTATTTCTCTTGTTATATATTCAGCTACAATTGCTTCTGTATCTGCAAATTTAAATTCTGTTTCGATCCTCAATGGAACAAATTTTAAGGACTAGAAAGAGAACACTGATATTATTCTTGGCTGCATGGATATGGATCTTGCGTTAAGGACTGAGCAACCCCCTACTCCTACAGATTCAAGTACCTCTAAATAGAAGAGAGATTATGAGAAATGGGATCGCTCAAATCGCATGAGTCTAATAATCATTAAGCGCGACATCCCGAAGGTGTTTAGGGGCACTATTTCTGAAAATATCACAAGTGTCAAAGAATTCCTTGCTGAAACTGAACAACGCTTTGCAAAAAGCGATAAGGCGGAGGCAAACACTCTTCTTCAGAACTTGATCTCCATGAAATATCAGGGCAAATAAAATATCAGGGAGTACATTATGAGCATGTCTA